ACAGTGAGGGCTACGCTAACTAAACTTTCGGGGATACACCATTAGCGAAACATTGCATTATTATGTTAAAATAGAATTGATTAAAAATACTTTCGCCACAGCAAACCTGTAGACTAAGTTTTCATTTTTCTGATTGGAGTTTCACTCAAAATCTTTTTTCAAGTTGTTAGATTTAATTCCTATTTAATTATGTAATGTTTTAGTGCTTACTTAGGTTTTCTGCTACAGTGAAGGTAATAAAGTGTGGGTTTTTTAATTAAAACGTTTAAATTAAAAATATTGATAGCTTGGTATGAAATAAATAAATTGACATAATTTTGACAATTTAAAGGACAAGCAAACTGCAACAGTTTACTTATTCTCCATAAGAGGACATGTTGGAAAATTCCTCCATAAACATCCTATACTACCACAATAATAAAGTTAACAAATATTCTATTGGAAATAGACATTGATATGTAAATTTTACAGAAACTGGCTTTGTAAAAAATAACGGAAGTCAAAAATGTTATTATTAACATTTTCATGTTTATCTTATAAAACAAATTACGTTAAATTTGTAAACATACAACATATAAAGTTAATTATTCATCACATACTCATATCAGATCATGATTACAAATTAGGATAATAAAACTATATTACTACTTTTTAACTATTTAAGCTAGGCTATCATTAGTATTTTTATGATCGAAAGCGTGATATTATAAGATAAAGATGTGATTGAGTCACAATGATATTATACTCAGTATTAAATGTTAATTATAGTTGTTTTATGAATGTGATCTTATTTATACAAAACAACCAATTACTGTATTGTTTCTCTGAGCTTCTCCCTGTGCTCTTGGAGTAGAACATGTCGTCATTTAACATCCTCAGTCTGCAGCTATCTATACGAGTATTAATTATGAAAATTAGGAAAATATATGTTGAGTAAAAACTATAAAATTAAAGTAAATAAAACAGTATCATTCGAAACTGGACTTCCTGTTCCTCCCAGCTGATCATGGTCCTGGCTGATGAAACGGATGAATTTGTCTATGATGTAAAGCTACAAGGATCACCACACTTCATTCTCTTTCACCACGCTTATGGATGTGTTGTAATTGAGCAAACACGGTACGACACGCGTGTTTAGTCAGTGTCAGACACGAGTAACACGCCAACACGTGTGTAACACGCTTACAATCCATAACGTTAACGTGTTATTGGAATGTATATTACCTTAGGTTGAATCAGCTATCCTCCTTTGTACAAGTGGTATATAACTACAACAACTTGATTATAATAAAACAATTTTGTATTTAGAATCTCGTAACTCGTATTGTTTTCGTATGAACTAAGCTAATAAACGCTAAAATCTGTGTAAAAAGATTTCTTAAAAAATACCCCTAGATTTTCAAAACTACAATATGTTACTTTATGACTAGTGTAGATACATTTTACGATGATTGACTTGCAAAATAGTATACAAGGTTTCTAGTCCGGAAAATAGGGGGATTACCATACGTGTACGGTAAACTCATTTTGGACGAGTGTAGTACGATATATATCGCCATACTACTCTTAACCAATCTAACAATGAAAAAAACTGTACAAATCCGTTATACATTTCCACCGACTTGGAATTAACAATCACTACTCAAACCTTATAAGAGAGGCTATGTTTTCGTTTATTGATTCGTCCACTTAATGCCAATTATTATAATCAGCTGGTGTCCGGTAAAAATTTATTACAGGACAGTAGCATATTATTAGTCCCCCCTTTGATTATGGAGGCGGCAAACAGCTGTGTTCGGACTAATATTATGTTTGGAAAGTCTATTAAAACTGTGCAGTGTGGCGAAAAACTATTTCAACATTACAACGCATTGTTCAAGGAAAAGCGTATATCTTTAAATTGTTGAGAAATTTACATAACATACTTACATACTTATATATAATCGAATAAAATAAAATATGAAGTAATAAATTAAGATAGTTTAGTAAAATGGAGACATTTTAATCTCTAGTGAAGGGTATTTGAAAGGGGGTGGATGCCCGAAAACATGTTTACCAAGAAACGAAAACAAGCTTTAGTCATATCAGATCTGAGGTCTGGAGAGAGGAAAAACTAATTTGCAAAATCAAATCAGTTTCTTTTTGACACCTCTTGGGTGACTTCTCAAAATTTACTCAATCCCAATATTTTTCGGGTGAGTAGGTTATAATTGAACACATATGATAATGTCATATGTTGTACTTTCTGAATGAAAGTAAATCATCCATTAATTAGCAAAGAAAACCAACATTATTCTTGTATACTTCAATGTGTAAAATACATGAACTGTACTGCAATCCTACTAATATTATAAATGAGAAAGTTTGGATGTATGGATGTATGGATGTATGTTTGTGACAAGTGAACGCGAAAAATACTGGTCGGATTGGGCTGAAATTTGGCATGATGATAGCTCACATTCCCGATTAACATATAGGCATATTCTTATTTCAAAAATCCTTTCGGGCTCCGCCCCAGTGGCTCTGGAGTTTCCCATGTTAACCTTATGAGAAATGAAATTATTGAATCTTAACAGCTGTTTCAATTAAACAAGTTGGTTCTGTTCTGTAATGTTCAATAGCATTAAAGTTACAAAAATTACCAACATGGTGCAGCACTATTATTTCTTTTACATTTATGACAACAGCTAATTTGCAACCAAAAGGTGAGTGAGCGTAGCGAACGAACTTCAACCTGGAGGCGAGTTAGCGTAGCGAACGAGCTAACCTGAAGGCAAGTGAGCGCAGCGAACGCGCTCCAACCTAAAGGTGAGTGATCGTAGCGAACGAGCTCCAACCTAAAGGTGAGTGAGCGTAGCGAACGAGCTCCAACCTAAAGGTGAGTGAGCGTAGCGAACAAACTTCAACCAGGACGTGATTGAGCCATGCGAACGAGATAATCTTGAAAATTAAGAAGTTAAACGGGGCAAAGCCCGCGGGTTACAGCTAGTATTACATACTTCCATTCTACGACTATACTTCACTATTTTACCATCAGTAGATTTCTCATCCTTATGGATCTTCTGAAGACAATTTTATTGTTTGTTCCGATGCACTGTTTATAATTTGTTTCTTGTTATTTTAGTAATTTAACACCTCGTTTAACCAAATAAAACGATCTAATCATAAACAATAACTCATCTTCTAAATCGTGAAATTAACCCCATAAATAAAATAAACAAAATTTCGTCAACACTATCGATCAGTGTCACCGGACATGAACTAGACACGAAAACGAGCTTCAAAATTTACAATGGGATGGTAAGTCTACTTGTGTAGGTTAGTCTATGAAAACTCTCACTTCTCTTTCGCTAAAAAACTACATACAACTGAACATTTGATGAAGCAAATTTTTAAGGCATTGGAAAACAAGCCATCGCATTGAAAAAAAAAACACTATTGAACCCCCAAAATATTTATCTGAAGACTTAAATGCAATCAACTTTTGAATTTGTTGTCCATGAGAATCATATAGTCCACTATTAATCATTGAAGTTGTACATCTTCTTTATATTGTATACTGTAAATCTGATCTCATAAATTACTTGAAAACACATCTCCAGACATATTTAGATGTCCCACTAATGAACTAAAGCTGGGACCACGTAGGTTTGCAGTTGGTGACAGCCAATCACAAGACAAGGCTAGTGCGACGTTGCCACTATCCCCTTTGACAAAACTAATTAAAATATACTAAGCAATATTTTCAAATCAGCTGGTATTATTAGATTTGACAACACCGCACGGTTCTCATTGATTTATTCAAAACCATATGGTAAACAGGCTCCTCCCTCAACTGCAAACTTACGTGGTCCAGACTGAACAGTAATATTCTAGTCAATGTATTTATTATTTGCACAATGATCACTAGTCATCAATCATTTAGTAGCAACTCAGCATTTACTGTATGTTAGTTATTTAATTGTATTGTAACCTTGATACCTTATTATTAGCCCTCTTGCACACATGTACCATATTACTCTCTTAAGTCAATATTCACTGTATTTTTGTTACCGTTTGTTGAATAAATAAAATAAATAAAGACCGTCTACAACACACACTGAACAACTTTAAACATTTAAAGGTCCTTACGCTTGTGGGTTTCTGACCTAAAAAGAACTGGACCCAAAACGCAACCCTGACGGACACCTTTGACAAATGGTGTTAATGTCTCTCGCACCACCGTCACTTCGAAGGCGTTAATGGTCCTTAGCTCCAAACAAATTATTGACGCCGTCGAATTCCAGCGTAATTTATTGACTGGGTTTGCGTCAATTTGGACTATTTATGACGTTAGGGTTGATTAAGCGGGGGCGGGTTGTAGGGGTAGTTTGTCTTGCCGCGCCGTGCGGTCTGACCAAAACATTCCGGGGCAAGTGAAGAGTTTGATTTTTAGGGAATATAGGGTAATTTACTGGGTAGTTACTTTATGAGCAAATGCCGAAAGTTATTTCTAAATTATCAAATAAGTCCCTCGTCGATTCCCTCTTTCATTAAAACTAGGAATTTATGGGTAGATAATGTATACACAGTACAAAGTTTGATTTTTTCCAAAAGTTATTTAAAAATAGTTTTCAATTGTTGAAGTTGAGAGTACGCAAACCAAACCATCATCCCTTTGTGATATTAATGATATACCTTAACATCACAAAATATTATAAAACCAACTGTGGATCAATATTATAAAATATATGTGAACAAATATTTTAAATTCATTTGAGTCGATTAAGTTGTTGGAAAACCGATACCATGAAACTTAACGTTGGGCCTTCTGTGTACGACTTACTGTGTACGACTAAGAAAGAAATCTTAGAAAACTCTTGGCACATTGGGAAAGGAAACACAATAGAAGTTACTGCATGGGAAGTCCCCAAAGGTGCATTTATGGTTTAGACTATTAGTTGAAAAAATATTTTCATCTATATATTTAATTTAAAACATCAATATTGTTTTTGTTTTAGGTAAAGCTCAATCAACAAGTGTTGGAGAGTTGTCTAACTGATTCATCAACCCCAGAAGGGGAACGTGAAGGATAACAGAATTGCCATTGAAAAGATGAGGCAATCTACAGGTAGGCTCAAACCTAATCCAACATAAGTTAGCCTCACCTAGTGTAACCATAGACAAACAAAATTAATATGGACTGTCAGCCGTGCAGTGGTTACCATGGCTACCACATGTTCTGGCGCATACTTACCACGTTGTGATCGTTGTGTAGTTACGTAACGCTAGGCCGTAACTACATGGCGCTCCCAGCGGTGTACGCCAGAACCTATGGTAACCGCAGCACAGCTGATGTTAAGTTCTATCACCTAATAATTTTCTTTAGCCTTTGTTTAGAACAGCTGATGTTTAAAAAATGATTCAAACTGTATAAATAAATATTATTGATTTCTGTTCTTCTTGAAAACATGACTTATTTTATTTCTCTCTTAATATTTCATTTTTATTCACAAACACTCCACAGCTGACGTATATTTAATTCTTTTTGTCTATGGTGTAACCAAGCCTAGCCTAACCTAACCAACTACACGTCTTAATGAATGATGTCATTTCGATCCACGCACGGGCGCTTAGTCTATGTGGACGGGTATTTGTATACTAATACCAATGTAATACCCACAATGCAAGGTTAAAAGAGGCCACCAACCTCTTAAAAAAAATTAAGAATGCTAAGAGAAGTTTGTAGGAACTTTTTCTGCACACATTTAAATTACAGTGGCGAATAATGATAATAATAATATTGGGGGGGGGGGGGTAGGATTTATGTAAGTAGTTTTAAGTCATTTTAAGTAGACGTCTAAGCTTTTCTGCTCATATTCCTGATGGTAATTTGAGCTAAATTGCACTTTAACTTTACCTAGATCACGCTTCTTAATTGTTGAGTATTACGTTAGGCCCATATATTTTTTCTTTATATTAATTATTTCGGAGGTCCTGGACCCCTAATATTCGCCCCTGTGAGGAGATGATGATTGTCCTTCCTTGCTGCATAAACTAATGAAAACTGCATTTTTTGCATCTTCTCTTCACTTCCTATAGAGTTCAGTAGATCTCTTATATTTTTCGGTGAATTTTTCAATGCGAGACTTTTATTCAAGGCAAACAACTAAGCTCACTAAGAAATAAAAAGGATCAGTAAGAAAACATATCCTCTTTAGGGAACTCTGACACCAAGGATGTCAAGTTATGTTTCATATTTGTCACAAAATTAGTTATCGTAATAAAACATTTTTTTTATTAATAATAATTTAAAATATTTAATTTTGAGGCATTTTGATCTGGTATTTACCAGCTACAACCCTGCCTAGTCCCTAGGGTCTGTTATGAGTGTTAAACACACTAACTAGTCCCAAGACAGGCGTGTGCTGGTCTGGACACTATCCCAGGGGATCTCCAGGGTTACATCCAGGAGTTCCCCAGGGACCATCTGTCCCGTGCCTCCTCTGTAGGGAGGAGCCCACGTGTTCTGGACTCCGAGTCCTTCGGGAACATGTTCTTGTTACTGTCAATGTCAGTTTGGAAGTTGCTTTGTTGAGGTTGGTTTCGAAACTTCGGATTTGTTTTGCTGTACTTTGAAAACAAATGAGTAGGAAAACAAAGTACTTGTTAATCGAATGTTATTAATTTATGGGGGATCAAAATATTTTTTTACTGATGAGTACCTTATTGTAGGCCTATACCTGATTGAGGTACCCATTCAACAATTTATTAACTTGTAACGTTTCTTGCAGCTTCCAGTATACTTCTTGTATACTTTAAGAAAATGAGTAAAAATATTTATTATATTCATAGTAAGAATTAATAAATTAACCTCAATTAAGATAGAAACACATAACCGCCTTTGACAACGCTAGGTTTACCTGAAATCAAACATACACTGCAATTGGGTTTTTTATAGAAAGAAATGATACTTCAAGTATCCAAAGTCAATGCTTTAGGCTAAGCATTTTCTACTGATTTGTTTCGTACCGCAGTCCCAAATGGCCATCTGCCACTCTCAATACTCTGAACGACCATAGTAAGAAGTATTTATACTTAGGTTCTTTTGGTACTCACCATAATAAACTAAACAAACAAACAAAAAATAACTAAAAAGACTGACAATATAAACATTTTCACCACTACTATTAGAGTGGATTTGTGTATCTTGCAAGTGATAGATAATTATTGTATTAACATAGTATCTTTGTCTTAAGTCATGGTTGCAAGTTTAATACAATATGATATGTAAATGTAATTATTTACTGTGTAATGTCAAGTAACACTCATAGAAGTACCTACTTGAAGATAATTAAAATTCAATTTCAGCCCCATTTCTATAATCACCCTTTATACATTTTCCCTCAAAATTCTGAGAAACCCGATTCACAACATCCGATGCAAATTAGGCCCTAATCGGATTCTAAGAAAATGCAGGATTGTCCTTCAGTCATATCCGGACATTCCCTAGTCCGGACAAACATTGACAATTATTGTGACCGGAAACCACCCTCCCCACCTGTGGACCGGAAGTTAGCATTCGCACACCCCGTGTTGTCACCTGTACCCTTCTCGTGGTCTGTTAAATATTTAAAGGACTTCTTTTGTAACGGATCGTGCCGAAGTCGGCCTCTTCCCTTTCAGTTTTTTCTGGAGCACGTGTTGAAGTAAAATAATTTTGAAATCTTGTATACTGTAATATAACTATTTTATACATAAATTAGACCACATAGAAGTTATGTGTTTCTTTACTGAAATTACACCATGAATTGAGAACAACTTGAGAATGACTCATTTATTGAATTGAATTTATTGTAAGCTATTTTATCTTTCATGTCATGTCAACTACCAGTAACAAAAGAATAGGTAGAAAATAAAATCTTAGACTCTTGCGAAATTAGTGATATGTTCACAGAATTATGTTCTTTTTGGATCAAAAATTTATGACATCTGGTCCCGTAGCACCGTGTGTAGCGATACGGGATGTCTCTACGTCATTATCTGAAAGTCAATGGTTAAACATTCTCAATAGTACAAGTTATAAACTCATATTTTAGATCTTAGATCTAAGGTTGGATTGAAATCTCCAATTTCAGATTCAATAATATCAGGGTTTTGAATCACCCTTAATCCAGAGATCCACAGCTCCAATTTTATATTTTAGATAATCATGCTTTTCAAACAATCAAATTTTCTCATATTCTTCAAATTACTGACTCCACATCACAGATATCAAACTTTCAAGTTTTTCGGATCATAGAATTTTCTTCTAGAAATCATGAGCTGCGATTACATTACAAAGCTGAGTTGGCACCTCGTAGACAACGGAGCGATCTGATTGGCTGTCCGCTGGTCACTAGGGGTCAAGGGTCAAGGTCACGTGGTCATGTTACGTCTATCACACAATTAAATGCTGATTTCTCCCTCCCTAGTTCCACGATAACCCTCTAGGGCAAAAAATCTTAATTGGTCCAATAAAAATGCAGCGAAACTTACAAACTTTATTTTATTTTCTCGATTTAAATTTTTTTTGTAGTGGTTGGCACACAAGCATTGGACTTTCTATGTTTTACCAAATTGTAACATTTAAATTTTTTTACAAAATTGGTGAGATGACATTATTATTTTTGTAATTAAGGACCAGCTGTTTTATTAGCCAAGACAATAATAATAATAACATTTATTAAAGTAGGCCACTCTTTCATAAAAATTTAAATATTTTACCTTTTTTGACTTTAATCAGTTATAGTAAATACTTTTCCTTTTCAAAATTATTTACTACCGGTAATATTAACGAGTTTTGAGATAGTCCAACGTATTCAACATAAATATACGGGTTAAACAAATAAATACTATAACATTACTAGTACCGTACCATATTTGATTAATGAGTTTCAACACAAAATCTGTAATAATAACAATCAATTACATTTCAATAGTACCTATAGTACTAACCTCTTATTTCACCTATTCCCTCATTTCTTGTACACCGGCTTTACAAATACTTGCAGAATGTTTCATAATTTTCTACCATATTTACTTTCCCGTCCGTGTCGGCTTATCAGTGCTGATAAGAAATCCTGGTTAGTTAAGAACAACCCACAACCATGAACTAAGAAACGCCGATATGAATGCGTAAATATAAACACTACGACAATGTTTGCTTTGTAAATAAGAAAATCAAACAATAACATGTTTTAACTGATTATTGACCGGTAGTGTTTAAAACTTGATAGACATTCTTCATCAATAATACCTATTTGTTCAAAATTTCTGTACATTAATACAATGATTTTTTTACTTGAATATTAATAAGTAATGCGATTACTTAAAGGAATTGGCAATCCAATTATTGTATTTCATGCTGGCACGAAATCGTCGAACTTAACATTTACTTAAAAGTCGTCCAAGATAATAATTGACTTTTAATACAGTATATCCTAAAACATACTCACTAATAGATATCATCCTTATAGATCACCTGGATAGTTTTAACGTGTGTTAATATCCCGACGAGTGTGTTGATATTTCCCTAACCTAAAAATTACAAATTTTTGTAAGCGAATGAAAATCTATATAGCTAGTGAGGATCACGAACTTTTGAGAAAACCGTAAGCAGTACACCTTTCAACCTTATACTGTACTTAAATGAAAGCCCTTCATAAAAATTTTCCGTAAAATATCAGTGTTTCGAAAAACAACTAAGGGCACGAATCTCAATTAAAGTGATGTATTCAATTACATTTTAAATATTGAAGATGCATCAGCTGTTAGATTTGTTTTTAATTTATAGTGTGTTTGTTTACTTTTCCCTGAGTTAATCGTTTGATTTTCATTAGTCATTATAGATGTTTACATTACGATAAAGTTATTAGCCTAGTTTTAATTCTGCCACACAGTTGTAAATATTAGAGATTTCCACCAAGCATTTAGTACGACTGTAGTTTGCATGTATATGCATGGTAAGTGTGTGTAACGGTATTTTATAGTAGATCTAGGGACCAAAATTATTCTCTCAAGTATTCTTACCCCGCAACGAAAATCACGGACAGAACAACTGTCAAAATTAGCTGTACAAACTATTAAGTT